TGTAGTTTACTTTCACGAGTCAAATGGAACAGCAGTACGCTTCAACAGGACTATAGCAACAATGGCACAATCCGCCTTGCTCAACCACAACCTCCCAAAAAATCTATGGGCAGAAGCGATCAATACCATGGTACACGTCAAGAATCGCCTTCCGCACAAATCACTCCCGAATATGACACCATACGAAGCACTTACTGGCAAGAAACACTTTATTGGGCACCTCCGATCCTTCGGTGAAACCATGTTCATACACATACCCATCGAAGCATGACCATCAGGAACAAAACTGGATGCAAGGGCTATAACGGGATAATTCTGCGGATACGGAGACTTTGAAAAAATCTGTCGCGTCTACATACCATCACAAAGGAAAGTAATTTTCTCTCGTCATTTTAGGTTTAAAGGTACATCCGTAGGGAAGAAATCGAAGTCAAAACAAAAACTGATACACCCCCTAAACCAAAACAAATCGAGATCAAACAAGAACCACCCTCACGTCCGTCAACACCAAAACAACATAGTGCATATGACGACGACCCAAGTGACGACGACATGATCAATCAACAAATAATGCGCGAAACCATGTAACATTTCTCCGACACTAATTCGGAATACCACGCAAGTATAGTGGGGGCCGGCTATACGAGGCCCGCCACTGAACGTACCCCGCATGATGATAATGAAACAGATACTGATCAACCGAGACGTAATCCTGCATGGGAACGAAAAGCCCCGGTCAGATACGGACACAACATTCAGCATGACATTACCCTAACAAAACCAACAAACTACCACCAAGCGATAAACAGTCCTGACTCCGAAAAATGGCAGAATGCTATGAAAGTTGAACTAGACTCACTCGCAAGGAATAACGCATGGAATCTGGTCAAAACACCGGATCACCGCAAACTGGTCGACTGCAAATGGGTATATAAAATCAAACTCGGGCCCGATGGCAACCCCATACGGTACAAAGCCCGACTAGTCACAAAATGTTTCTCACAGGTACCTGGTCAAGATTTCGATCAAACCTATGCCCCCGTCACCCGATACGAATCCATTAGACTACTCATCGCTCGCTGGCTTCAAACCGGTGGCCAATGCAATCAGATGGACTTCATCAGTGCATTTCTATACGGCGAACTCAAGGAAGAAATCTACATGAAATCTCCTCCAGGATACCCTACTCCAGGCAAAGCATGCAAACTAATCAAATGCATCTATGGCCTCAAACAATCATCAAGGGAATGGTATGCCCGCCTCTCAAAAGCGCTAATCGAAATAGGATTCAGAAAAGCAGACTTCCACCCTTGTGTCTTCATACACAAAACAGGGGAAGTTGTCATTGCAATCTATGTGGACGATATCCTCATCTTCTATTGGTCCGCTGAACGCAAAAACCGCGTCAGCCTCCTCCTCCACTCTGAATTCGAAATGACAGAAACTGGCACAGCCAACTGGGCACTCGGAATCCACCTGATCCACACTGCGACCGGCATCATCCTTTCACAGGAAGCCTATCTCAGGCGTGTACTTATCAAATACAGTTTCAACGAATCCAGACCTGTTGCAACATCTATCGACAACAACGTCCAACTCCAAAAAGGAACGGAAGTTGAGAAAATCGACGACCCAACAATCTATCAGTCGATAATTGGTTCACTCATGTACGCAGTAATCGGCACTAGACCCGACCTCGCCTACACCGTCACCATGCTCTCACAATTTTCCCCCTGTCCCACCAAGGCCCATCTAGCAGCAGTCCATCGCGTCCTCCGTTACCTCAAAGGTACCCTCGATTGGTCACTTTTTTACACCAAAACTCAACCAACTGCACTCATCGGCTAAAGCGAAGCAAGCTATGCCTCCGATATCGACGATCGCCGCTCATTCACCGGCCACTGCTTCATGCTAGGGGACGCTCTAATCTCCTGGCGCTCTTATAAGCAACGATCTGTCGCCACTTCTACAACAGAAGCGGAATACATGGCCCTCTCAGACACCAGTCGACAACTGATCTGGTTGAGGAATGCAATCCACGAACTGGAACGAAAACCGAATCTCTCTTTTATTCTTCGAGGCGACAACAACGGCTCTCTCTCTTTAGTTAAAAATCCTGTCTTTCATAAAAGATCTAAACACATCGATGTACATTTTCATTTTGTTCGGGAACGGTTCGAGGATGAATTATTTAAACTGGTATATGTTTCTACGAACGAGAACGTGGCGGATTTACTTACAAAGGAATTGGATAAAGGCAAACATGTTTTATTTTCTTCTACTATTCACTTTGGCTCACGAGGGGAAGTCTTGAAATAAGGCGCTCGGCACGTTTCATAGTTCTGGAAGATTCTCATCATTTCATTATAGTATTTGTCATCGGCGTATGACTCACTTTCCTATTAGTCATTCTGTTACTCACACGTCCATGACTAATTGTATTTCTTTTGTACTACCTTTCATTAGTATAAATACGGGGCATTTCCCCCTAGTTAAAACAATCAACACGATCAATTACCTCACTTCTCCTACATACTTTCTCTATTCTCTACCAACGTTTGTTCCCCCGCAACATTCTCGTGGAATATCTACTACCATCCAGGCTTATCTAGCCCTAGAACTCGTTGCCCTCTAGGTCTAATCCCTGATAGCCCTAATTCCGTATGCCAGGGGTATATATACAGGGCTTCCCTCCCTCTCCCTCTTCCACTCCTCATACATTCAGACGAAAACCATTACATAAACATGAATTACCAGTTACGATGTGAAATGGTGAGTAATAGTAGCTATGGAATCCTCTCATCATCAATCCTCCCTAGAAATACTCGACCAGTGCCCAAAGGGACAGGCTTTCCTATTTGCTAATCTTCGGACTAGAGAGTTTGTCTGGTAGCGGGACCCTTCAGAACGCTGAGCTAATAGGGATCGGTTCTAGGAACCGAATCATCGTCGAACTAGGGAGATTTCCAGGCCAGAAAACCCCTCGGTTCGAAGAGTTCTAGGAACTATCTGATCTGCTAATCTTCGAACTAGGGAGGTTTTCAGACCAGAAAACCCCTCAGTCCGATGAACTGAAACTTTTTACTAATCGTCGGGGTGGTGAGGTGCTGGTGACGGCACCCTCCAACGCGATTAGCGTTAGGACCTGCTTTTGGGAACTACTAATCTTCGGGCCGGAGAGGTGCTGGTGACAGCACCCTCCAGCCCGTTTAGTGTTAAGCCGGATTCACTGGAAGGCTTTACTAATTGCTAGTGAGGTGCTTGTAACGGCAACCTCCAGCTCCATTATTATTTTACGCACCGCCTGAATACCTTCTCATCCCTTACTAGTTTGCCTCCGTGTTAGAGACTTCATTTATGTTTGTTTCATACCTATCATTCCTAGCTTCTCACGACTTTGTTCGTATATATTAAATTTCAAATTTCAAATTCATTGATTTTTCGGTTCTATAATGTCTCTGGGCCTTCAATCCCCACTGATACCATGCATAGAGGTGATATCGGAATTCTCTAGGTGGTTGCTGTAACTATCAAAGTACAATAGAAAAAATAACATTGATACTTTGAAATCATAAGACCATTTAATGATTAATCGATTGATTTTCATTGAGCCAGTTCATGGCTGATACAGGAGCCATATTAGATCTATTGGTAGGTATCAATTCAATTAAAATAATAGATTTCGAAAGCTTATCGCAGTGTCTCCAGCAGATTACTCGATCAAACGATAACTCCTTGCACCTCCTGCAAGTCGCAACCCACCCCAGAACGTTCCGACAAACAACACCCCAGTCATCTTACACCACTCACGGGCAATAAAACCCTATCTCTCCAACTAAAGAACACCTTTTTCTTTTTTGCAGCAGTACGTTGCCGGCAGAATGTTCACGGCGCCTCAATGGCTATCAAGCACCCGGCCCTGCAGCCGTTCCAGCATTTTCCAGACGATCCGAGATCGAACTTGCCACCTATAAACTCTCCGGATCGTCGCAAGTGTCCCTTGTGTGGGATACCCGCCGGATTCATTAATGGGTAGTGTTAGTGGATGAGATGCGGAGACCGGAGGTAGTGACCGAATACGGCTTCATGCCGACTGCGCTGCACACGTCTCGCTCTCATGCGACTTCCGCTGGCGTAGGCCGCCGAGATACCTAAGACTCCATATATGGCCACTTTCTTTATATCCTAAACCTCGTGAGACACAGCCGACCTCATTCTCAAGAGGGGCAATGGCGTAGGCGGTTTAATTCCTTCTTCACCTTTCCGGACGTTAGTTGAGACTCCGCAAGGCCAAAACCCCACAGCCGTGGGGGTGATGCCGTCCCGCCCACTGCAGCTTGGATGTCTGCTCTCTTCCAACTCTGATGTTTCGCGGAACGGAGACGTCCGCAATCAATCCACCTTAATTGCGTGTGTGGTAGCTACTCAGGGTTAGGGCTTCTGTGAGTTTCCGCTGTGGTCACTTCTACAGTAAGCAGATTAGGTGTTCGTTCTCTGGGATATAAAAATTCCAGGGTCCTCCTCCTTCCTCTTTTCACTTACAGAACAGGGGACGAGACGCAATAGGTCTAAAGACGACGACATCAAAACACTCACATATACTAAGGATCCACGGCCGCCAGAACGTAGGCGAGCGGAGAAAAAAGAATATCAGCTCCTGGAGAATAATGTCCATTGTCGAGTGAGTAGCTGTTTATTTGCATTGATTTCCAAGCAGTCACCATAATGCCAGAAATGCGAATTTTCTATTATTATCACGGTCGTGTTACTGGGTTGTGCACCTGCGGCTGACGAAAGGGTAACGATCTGCAATATCCAACAACCAATATAGGTATCAGCCTCACTATGCGTCACCCTATCGCCATCAGATTGCCAACCTATGCAGCACGCTCCTCTGAATCCCACACGCTATCAGAGATCTGCTCTCAATAAGTACGACCCCACCGCCGCCGCCGCGCTCCCCGACCCCACTCCAGATTACACACCCTTCCCCAAGCACGATGTCGGACAACCCAACCCCAATCCAAGGGGAAAAGGGCGACCTCTACTGCCGCCCCACAACCGGGCTCGACGTCTGCAAGTTCTTCCTGCTCAACTACATCCTGCACGCCTTCACCGTCATCAGCGAGCCCGGCGCGGGCCCCATCGCGAGCCTGTTCCACAGCGCGCTGGCGGTCTTCCTCCCGTTCTCGAGTGTCCAGTACTCGAGCTACGTCATCTGCCAGAGCATTGCGAGGTGTCGCAACGACCTGGAGAGGGCCGCGAAGGCGAGAGCGCTGTGTTTTCTGGTGCCGGCGAGGCTGAGGAGAGGGTAAGTTGATTATGATCCGGCTTTCTGGTGTGGCGTTTGGGGGGGGGGGGGGGGGACATGCTTACTGTGGATATAATAGGGAGCCGATCTCGCCGGCGATGACAACCGTGCATGGTACGTTTCCGGTCCTCGAACACGTTGGTCGGATGGCAGCCCCGGGAAGAAGCACCACCCCGAGTTCGGCCCGCGTTCCGGAGGCCCACGAAACGGCAGGTCAATATGAGCTAGTTCTTGTCCCCCGATATGCCCCCGTCGAGCCCTTCTTGCTGGAGGAAAGCGAAAGCACCGCCAGAACAACCGACGGTGCAGTTCGATACAGGACCGCTGTCGCTAGTAACTCAAACATCATGAAGTCCGCAATCGCAATGCTCCAGATCGGCTACGGCTCCTACGAGCTCTACGACGCCTACAAAGGACAACTGCAGCGGTTCGGCTACGCATCGTACGCGCTGACGGTTATCCCGTACATCTTGATGTCCCTCCTGAATCTTACGGCGTCACTTTGTCAGCCGGGATACAATGCAATGTTCCTTGTGCACTACCGCGGCGAGAGGGACTACGAGCATGCTGCTGGTGTGCGCGAGCGGAAATCGCCGTGGACATCGGCGGGTGTTTCGGGACCGGAGGGGGAGGGTGGAGAATCCTGCGTAGAGCTGGCGGCAGTAGGTGGGGTGTCTACTGGGCAAGGAGGCGGCGGCGGGGTGCGGGAACCGTGGATGGTTGATGCGGAGTCGAAGACGGCTGGCGCGGTTGGGCGGGTCTATTCCCTCACGGAGGACGGCGTGCGGTCGTGGTTGAAGTACCATAAGGTATATACGTCGTGACCATCGTTCCTTCGCCCAACATCCATGTATCTCTAACGGTGCTGGCCCAGACCCTAGCGATAAAGCAGACCCTCCTCGTCCTTACCACATCGACCATATCATTCATCCTCCCCTACGTCACGATTTACGCCATGACCTCCTTCCACGCAGCCCAGAGCACCACCACAGAGCGCCTCTTCACCCTCAGCCAGCTCATCATCGGCCAGCTCATCTGTCTCTTCGGCGACCACTTCACAGGGTCGCTCAGCCGCAGCGGGCGCACCCGTTTCCAGCTCCCGGAGCGGACGTTAGCTGTCAACGTCCCGCGATTCCTGAGGAGATACCTGTCGTGCGGTGCAGAGAGCTGGCGCGTCAAGTTTGCGTTCCCGATTGCGTATCGGTATCCGTCCGCTGCCGATTTGGAGTATATTTGGAATCTGGGGTGGAGGAGGGTTTGTGTTTATGTGTTTTGCTCGCTAATGGCTGTGGCACCGGCGTTGGGTGGGTTTGTGGTGGTTGCGAGGATGATATTGAAGGATCAGGTGTGTGTCAAGTTATAGAGGACACTTGGGGGAAGGAGAGGAAAGATGGTGGACTTCCACTGGTTTCCTTGAGTTCCTTTCGTTTCTTTTGTGTGGCACAGGTATGGGAACTTTCCATCTAGTGTTTTAGGAACATACATACATCTACCCTGGGGTGCCGGCAAGTGACGCAACAATCAAATAGTCCATATTTCTCAACATCCAAGTCACACGAGTAGCGAACGAATGTGGAGCGGGTTTGTTGTTATTTAGAAGATGGAGATTATATTTATAGTAAGGGTTGATAACAATACGGATCACTTTCCCTTTCTTATAGTCCCTTGCCACAAGTTTCCCTTTTGTAGGCTCAAAATTCCAAATCTATCACCTGAAAGAATGCAGACTCTATTGTAAAGACTCCTGTATATATCATGCACATCACTGGTTGTTCACCCCGCTCAATTATTGTTAAAAATTGAAATCATGAGTACTTTTTTGCGTTGCTAGGCAAACGTTGCTGGCTGCTTCCCGTAGTTCTGAACAGGACTGTTGAGAATGATCGATCAAAACTTGTGTTTACCAAAACGAAACAGAAGATGTATTAGTGTGTTTACCTTATGTTCCCTCTCGTTTACCAGACACATCTTCCTTATTCGTACCCCTTTAGCAACATGTTCCGCCTTATCCTGTGCCACGCGCCACAACCTTTCATCACTTTCCAGCACTGCTAGGTACATATGGTGCTCCCACTCCTAAAGGTATCGGGAAATTGCGGGAAGCCGGTGGCAAATAGCTTTTTGGCGAAAGAGGTTAAAAGAAATCGGTAAAGAAAAGGTCAAGCACTAGTGACGAAGTTTAGTTTTTCTTTACAGATTGCTGAGATCTATCCCAGCTGTGAAGTTATTAGCAATTGGAACTGGGCAAGGTTGAGGAAAGTGGAATAGTATTATATCCATTTATATCCCGTCAAAAGTGAATTGCGGCAGGAATGCAGCACAGCGGTTAGGAATAACTCTACTCATTGGCTTTGGAGTTCACCTTGCAGCGACGCTTGTTCCACTTCTGGATACCGCCGGCCACCGTTAAGAGTGCGTGCATCCTATCTCGTTCACGTAGTCAGCACCCCCGCACGGCTGAAGCAGCAAGCAAAGAGGAGAAAGTGTTGGAACCTCAAGTAAATAATTTAGTCCCCCAACTTCGCTAAATGTATCTTTGCACGCCTGATTCCCTCAACCCCAGGCCACTCGATAGGGCGCCCACTCGACAAAATCCATGTCTTGATGAACGGAGTATAACATATGGCAGCACAACCTCCACCGCGAAATAGGAGGTTAAATATGTCGCTCTTGTCTGTATAAGTGCTTACTGTTCTTCTCGAATAAGAAAGTAACTGGCAGCTCCCCCCGGAATCCCGAGGTGCGTCATACGACATCACTCGGCTCGTGAATAACGCTGGCAAACAATAGAAAGCAGAATGGAGGTAGTATCTGGGGTGGGTAGTGAACCATTAACAGTGGGACTTTCCCTAGGAGAGTTTACGGGGTTGTGTCGTTGCTCTCGGCACAACGTGGCCGGTTCAGTGGCACTGGGGCGATTTCTTTCAATCGGCTTTTCTCGTGTGATAGGACTACAACTAATAAGTGAGGTCATGGCACCTATCGTGGGGCTGAAATATAGAAAGGGAGTACTCCTCACGGTGGTCGGGGATAGCAACCTCCACTCATGCATGCGCAACTCACCTAGCCACGATACTAGCCCATAAAAGATAAAAAATGTATAGGCGCCCCAAAGCCGCGACAAATACATTCCTCATGCTCTCGCCTCCAACCTTCCCGGCCATTCTTAGCGCGTGTTCGCCTACTCTTCATCAACCTGCAAGCCCACCGTCGGGAAATATAGTCCTATTTGACGCTCGTTTCAAGCCGCCGGATAAACCCCATATCGTATGAAACTCCGCAGAGAGAGGTACTCGAGGGATATACCGCAGACTCGCACTATTGGAGATCGTCAGTTATGTTTAGTAGATGTACTAGAGACGCAGAGACGCCGTTGATTCACTGTTTGGGATTATCGAGTGATAACCCATGATTCTCCCGCTCTCCGTATCTGCGCTGCTGCCCAAGGAACGATTGCTGAAGAAACTATACCTAGGGAACGGATTCATTGACATGGTGGCGTTCGATTTGGTACCTTCCGTTGAACGCTACTGCCATCCGGACGGGGGGGGGGGTAGATGTAGAGACTCAACCGACGAAGTGAACAGAGGCACAAGGCAGATGGATGATTCCGTCCCGTTATTAAGTATCCGCCAGTGATTTAGTATCGGGTAGTGTTTGAGTAGATGTAGAATCTGCCACGGATGGGGGGTCCTCGAAGCGTTCGAACAGCAAGATGGGTACCAACTACCAACAGATGGCATCCAAGCATGCTACGCGCTCTTTGCCGGTAATGGTCCCCCTGTGCGGCTCTCAAGCCGATGAAACTCATGAACGAAAACTCCAGAAGACTTAGGTCACCGGCCACCCCGGGAGTGTAATAGTAGACACCATCACAGCCCGGACGTGATATATCTATTAATAAGAACACAAATCCAACCCCTTGATCAACAAAAAAATGTTTTCCCTCTGTTAGATGCCTTGCATAGTGGTGTTTCAATCTTGATGATTCCAGCTGGTAGAGTTCTTGTATACGTTAAAGATGCATCGATTCCAGTACACTGAATATGCGATAAGCTCAAGTCGGGTTAGTAAGACTGCATTGCACAGGGTGTACCTTAAGAGGCTGCTTTCTGGGTCCACGTGTTTATGCATGAAATCCACCATGCCGGAAGTCGCGGTGGAACGCGAACCTCTGCAGGCGCGCCCAAGCTTATCCGGATCTCGCTGGGGTGACTGACCTAGGTGCCTAAGACGGCATTGCCACCGCTTTTCATCCAGATCTAGTCAGCTAGAGTCGTAAGGGTAAGAGGGTTGTCAACGGCGGATAGAAAGTTGCGGGTCTGCCCTCGCCGGAGAAGGCAACTGTCATCTGTGGTACAATGCACATGCATGGCCACCGCCAGAACACACGGTGTGTCGTCGGAGCTGATACGTGGTGTACCACTTACCCGGCCACCCCTCGTAGGCATTCCTTCATAGACACAGAAAGCAAAGCCCACCGATACACTCCAGAAGCATGAGTATTTCGGGCTCTGCCAGGGTGTCCTTCGAGCCCAGCGCTGCAGGACACGAGGCGTAGAAGAAATATTATGGGGGAGTCCTCAAAAAAGCGGGAGAAAGCGCAATTTCCTCTTCCAGGCTACACGGACCCAGTCGTAGTTAGCGCGTATGTAACCAGGTGAGGTATGTTCTCAGGGTTAGGGCTATTTGAGCGGGAGCATTAACCCTAACCCACACGAAATGGGCTTATTAAAAAAAATATTTTATATATCTGTGCAGCGAATGTGGTCCCGTTGCTTCGCCAAACGTTCAGCTTCCTTGATGGAATGATTCTAAATAGTGACGGGTACTACTCGGGCGCGGATTGAGATTTCTTGCTGTTTAGCCGAGGCTCCTGGCTAACTAAAGAAGGATCGAGCCTGGAACATCATTACGCACTGTCGGTATAAAAGTATTATTGCCGGGTGATCTATATGATCCTGTGTCCTCCATCGGTGATCGTAATAGTTATTGTTTATCCCAACTTACTGCGAGGTCTAAATTCAGGTATACTTTATCGTGTGAGGTCGACTTTAGTTGCAATCTTCGAACATCTCCATGCTTTGGTTCCGGGATCCGAGTCGGCTCAAGCTCTGGGCCAGGTTCGTACCCGTCCCTAATTGTACTAACCCATAACTTATAATCAACTAATTGCGTGTAACACGATCTCATCCCGTAATCTGAAAGGGGCAGTAAGTACTTATCGACCATGAATATGATAGATCTCACTTCACTTTTCATTTGCGAAAAACTGAGAATATCAGGTTTGGGGGGGTGGGTAAAGATCAATCGCTGCATGCAATCTATGGTTCGTTTGCTTTTCCGCCTCTCCTTTCTAGTTCCGCAGGGCGCCAAAAAAAACTGGAAAGCACAGAAAGGGTACTGATTTGAAATATCCACCTCCCAGGCGAGCCACCACGATCACCCTTTAGAGTTAGGTGAATCTCGACTCTCTATTGTTCCTCCCCTAAACTTACCTCAGGCAAAGTCTCTAGCGCTGAGCCCCTGACTGATGCACTATCCTCGTGGCTATGGATATATAGTGTAATCAATACATTGGCTTTTATGAATCAGTCAGTGAGCTGTTTAGATGTTGATGTGTGATGTATCGCCGGACGCTGTGGCGCGTGCGTGGTGCTGATATTACCTTTTAAGGATCTTTTCAAAACCGCGTAGATCACCAAACCTTTTCAACCACAGTAGGCTTTTGAAATTTATCCTCATAAGAACGAGATAGCTATAGTATAATGGCAGAGCGATTTCTACCCATATATCTAAATATAAAACTTATAATTCTTGCAAGAGCCTTGGTAAGCTTGGGGTTTTGGTCAAGATGACCGTTAAGGCTGGGGTCACCATGATGATGTTTTCATTCGCTCGGGGTGTTTCGTTTTATGCTATATTGGAATTGTCACTTGGAATTATGAAGTTCTATTTCTCTGCCGAGAACACAAAGAACTTCATTTCAGGGTTAGGGTCCATGTCCAGGTTTCATTATTCGGCGGTTTGAGCGGCTCTGTCATAATGTAGAACGAGAACACCATTTAACTCGCTATCTAGAACGATATAACTAGATTAGACCACCTAGACGTCTAATACATCATCCTCGCTTCGTTCAACTCTTGAGTCTTGGTTGTGACCTCAGAACGCCACACACCAGGTTGCCAAGACCACATGTTCATTTTGAAGATCCCTTCCGCTAAAGGTGCTTCAACTTGTTACCCCGAATATGTGGTCACCGAGAAAAGTCTCCTACACCACCGTGAGCGCGTTCAAAGCGCGATATCAAGATATGACGTTGAACCCGGGTCGAGAAAGCGAGGGTACGAGATAGTCGGACATCATGCTGGTAGACGAGGGGACATGCTTCGACGATTTGCGCTAAGAAAACTGCAGGGGTTCGAGTACAGCACAAACTCGACAATAGCAAACGGGGCCGGGTTGGAATACTGCACTCTCACTGGTAGAAACCAAGGAATGTTAATCCTCCGGTGGTTGTGATTAAGGCTCATCGCCTATTTGACAAATCGGACAGCAAGAAGTACCCACTCTCTCAGCCGTCCCGGTGCGTGATTGTTGAGACTGCGCACTGTTAAGTGCGGGGTTTGAGAGTGTTTCGGAAGGAACGTACTGAGAACAGGAAACGATAAGTGTTAGTTTGATGCGCTGTGTGCTATCCAACAAATAGGCTCGTTGTCTTTCACATGCCTAAAAAAAACTCTTGTCGTCTTTCGTTGCATCTATCATACTCCAATCAGAGCAAGAGTCGGGGAGGGGGGCGTGCAATAACTGGGGCACAACTCGAAGCGCGGATTTCAGAGGACTGCTTCTCGGCGAGGCTGGACCCCGTCATGATATCTCATAGTACAGGATCTCACTGGGAAACTCCCAGTCAGTGATTGACTAATGGATTCCCTACAAGACATGATAGGCTTCAAGAACGCTAGAGGTGTAAGCGCTCCACTGCCACGCCCCCCCCCCCCCCCCCCCCGCGTACCTTCTCCTACTGGTTCAACCTTTATTTCGACACTAAGTAATTATACACTTTCTCCACAGGTCCGATGCTAACCAAACTTTAAGATTTAGGTGTATGATCTATCGTGCATGCTATTTTGAATACATCTAGCAAGCTCGGTCGGGTTAGACACGCGACCAGAGATCTGCTTTGATAAGAATAAGATTATCGTCGCATTTCTGTTACATCTTTCCCACTATACACCCCTCAATCATTCTCGAACACAATGACGGGCAACCGAACCTATGTCGAGGGGCAAGAGGGTACCTATTATTGCCGTCCCACAAACTGGCTGGATGTGTGCAAGTTCTTTCTTTTCAACTATGCGCTCCATGCCTTTACCATCATCAATGCTCCCGGCTCAGGAATCGTGACGAGCTTATTTCACAGCGTTTTGTCAATCCTTTTACCATTCCCGGGAGTCTTTTTCGCCCTATTTATCATCTGTGAAAATACACGGAGGCCTCGGAATGACTTCGAGAGCGCTTTGAGGGCAACAGCGTTGTGTATGGTAGTGCCAAAGCGTGAGGAGTTCCGGTGTGGGTAAGTCTGTCTAATTCTAGATAGCGAGAAGATACTCAGTGTATTCAGCGATCCAATATCGCCGGCGATGACAGATGTCCATGGGAGCCATCCAGCTCCCTCCTCCTCCTCGTCCTCTCAAACCACGGCTGAGAATGCAGAGGAGACCCCGCACGCATATGAGCTGGTTCTTGTCCAGGGTTCTTTACCGTCAAGCCTTTGATCCCGGAAGGCACCACCACCGCCAAATCCTCTGATACGCCCCGATATAAAACGAAGCTGGGTAGTAATTCCAATATACTGAAATCCGGGGTTGCGATTCTGCAGATTTGTTACGGCTCCTACGAGCTGTATGACGCGTACAAAGGGAAGCTGGAAAAGCTGGGTTATGCGTCGTATGCGCTGACAGTTATCCCCTACATCATGATGTCCTTTTTAAATCTCTGTGCTTCACTTTGTCAGCCGGGATACAGTGCAATGTATCTCGTCCACTATCGCGGTGAGATGGATTACGAACCTCCTCGGCGCTGCAAGAAGCAGTCGACGATATTTTCAGCCAATTCGGAGCCAAAGGGTAGTGGATACTATTCCGAGCTGGAAGACGTGGAGGAGGCATCCACGGATCGAGAACACGGTGAAGAGCGGGATCAGTGGATGGTTGATGCAGAATCTAAGACGGCTGGCGCAGTTGGCCTGGCTTATTCCTTGACTAAGAAGGGTATACGTTCACACGCAGATTATCATCAGGTAAATTACCACCGCGCGCTCAACTAAAATATGACTAATAAAGTCTAGACTCAAAGCATCATCAAGTTATCGTTGATAGGGATTGCATTGGCTTTATGCTACATATTGCCCTACCTCTTAATCTTCGCCCTGACCGGCTTTCGCGGCGGGCAAAGTACCATCGTAGAGCGCATCTTCACAATCGGCCCTCTCCTCTTTGGGCAATTTGTTTTCCGCTTCAAAAAGCCGAACGTTCGGGCATTCAGCCGTAGAGGGCGTAAGCTATACGAGCGGCCGATGATAAAATACAATATTCCATGGCCTATTAGCTCCATGTGTGGGAAGACTGGAAGTCTCGCATTTTTTAATCCTTTGAGGAGTCCCTCCGCGGCCGACATGGAGTATATAAGGAACAGTGGGTGGTTCAGCGTCTCAGTGTTTGTGTTTACTACCCTTTGGCAAATAGCACCCGCGTTGGGGGGGTTTGTGGTGGTCGCGCAGATGATACTGAAGGATCAGATTTGTGTCAAGCTGTAGAGCTGTAAATATGTGCGGGAGGGAGGTTTTTGCCCCGTCTAGGAAGGTGACGTTTCTATAATAGCAAAATATCCCGGTATTCTTTTCCAAGGTGTTACTGTTGGGTGTTTAAGCAGATATGGAAATGTACGTACTCAACCATGGGAAAAGACATTTATAATAGAAGTAAATAGTTACCCGTTTTTCCCCATCAAACCTCGCCATACAGATGGTGGCGCACTGAAGTATGAGAAGATGTCTCCCCCTATCGCACCCCCCGGCACCCATACCACATTCTTTATCTAAACTTTTATGTACCCATTTACAAGAAACTGATATAATCGCTCAGTCAGAAGATATCGTATATTTCTCCAAAACTCTCACCTAGATGTTGAATCGCCGGAATACCGGCATTAATCATTGCAAGTATCAAATTTGGAAGGTGGCGGTGGCTTGGGCCGAGTCGGCGGTTGTGGCTGGTTGAGCCGGGCTAGTGTGGCAGGTGTGGGTGGGAACCCGCACCTACAGAAATAGCAGAGCCCTGCGGTGATTTGGTGCGGGCAAAGGGTGGGTTTGATTCCAGTGGGCCGGAATGTTGCGAAGTTAAGGGGGGGCGAATCTGATTTTCCTCCCAAATACTGGAGCCCGAGGCCGGCGCGGATATTAATTTAGAGTCTCCTTCAAGCAATTCCTATGTTACTTTTTTTGCACTTCCTCGGCGATCAGTCAGTCTCGCTGCCTCAAATACCAAGAGCCTAGCTAGGCTCACGAGACGAGACGAGACGAGGCGAGAGCATACACTGAGGCCCTGGTCCTGGTCCTGGCCAGAGCAACCCTAACCCTGACCCAATTATACATGGCTTCGAACGCTCATGCAAGGATTATGTTTCGCCGGTATCAGAGCCCTGATACGACTCATGATAACGATATAGGACAACCGTTAAGCAGCGGTAGTTAAGGTGCCCGGTCGTGTTTTCTGGTCGGGTGGTCTGTGTTCGTGGACTATAGGGTTCGACGGATGGCCTTCTCGGCGGTGACCTGGCGCTGGGGAGGGTATAGGGAGGGTGTCGTGATTCTGGGGCGGCGCTGCCCGCGATGGGAAGACCTGCGTGAGGTTGTGGGGAAGGGTAGCATCGGATGCACTTTCACAGGGACACTTCGGTTGATGCGTTGGGTGGGTCTATGAGTGATGGTTACTGGGACTAGGACTAAGACTAAGATTATTGCACAGGGACTAGGGTTTGTGCTGGGGATGTGCGTAATGGTTAGTTCGACATCGCCAATCGAGGTGTCCATAAGATTATGTGAGGGTGGGAGGTTTTACTGAACGATTTCGGGGGTGTCTCGACTGGGAGGGGAGGTATGCTGATGCGTTTTCTGCGGTATGTAGAGCGTAGCCCATCACGATAAATCTACATTGTAAAGCAGTCAATCACATCTGGTATCATATTCGTGCTTGGGAGGCGGGAAATATTTAATATGTAAGTTGAGCCGCCTCCGCCGGATCTGAATGCGAGTGGTTAAGGCCCACCGGAATACTACGTAAAAAGAACAAAGCTTCTAAATGACATTGACAACATAGTATTCTTTGAAGTACTGTCGACGATTTTACCTACACCTTTCCCTACTAAGTACATACCGTTGACGATTTTACCTACACCTTTCCCTACTACTAAATACATACTGTCGACGATTTAACTAACTAGCACCTTTCCCTACTTTGAAGTAATGTCGCCGATTTTACCTACACCTTTCTCTACGACCGTGACTTTTCTGGGGAATATTGTCAATCAGTAGGGAAAGTTGTAAGTACTAGATAATGGTGCAGGGAAAATCGTTAACAGTAGGTAAAGGTGTAGGTAAAATCGTCGGCAGTAGGCTGGGAAAGGTGCTGGTAAAATCGTCGACAGTACTTCGAAGTAGGGAAAGGTGTATGTAAAATAGTCAACACTGGCAGTAGGGAAAAGTGCAGGTAAAATTGTCAGCAGTAGGTAAAAGTTTAGTAGGGAAAATTGTCGGTCCGCGATTGCTACTGTTCTTGGTATTTCTTGTGTCCGAGTCTACTGATTATTGACTTAGATATTTTTGGATCTCAAGTTCGACTACGTATACCTATTGAGTTAGCTTATACGTATTGCTTGTACTAGTAAGTGCTATATATTGAAAAGATATGATGATTCAGGTGGTAAGCTCCAAGTCTATCTTGAAGCAAGATCATAATCGGGATGATTCGCGTTCAATCCCTCGATATTCATTTGTTTTGCATCGGGACACTCACAGAAGTATTCTTCGGTATGATGCATTTACTAATCTCTTTACTGATACCTTTACTGATGCCTTTACTGATGCATTTCAACCCGTGATTCAGGGGGAGTCCGGCATTGTTTGTATTTCTATTTTCCTGATATAAGTATTTCCCGACCTCTTGACAAAAGGAAACTGTGATGCATTAAGGATTCATTGGTTGATGCATAAATTGATGCATTATCTACACGTTTTAGGAACCAGGTTTGATAAATTGACTGATGACTTTTATTGAGGCATTTATAATGCATTTACCGATGCATTTCGTACCATGGTAGAGTGTGTTCTCAATGGCTTTCCTCAAGGATTTCCGCACAAACCTGAGCAGTAAATGTATTCTTGGTAGAGAATCGTCAGTAAAGCCATACATATATCGTCTGAAAACTGATTAGTGATTTCACAGTTGCCTTACAGGCGACTGTTGAAATATGCTCTACGTCAAAGTATGTGACATCTATCCCAATTTTGGACTTAGTAGATTCAAGTTTTGATGCATTTCCTAGCTATACGTACCTCTACTAATAGCTTGTGGTTGATATAGTACCGATCTATTATCTCAATATATTAAACGCTAGCTATCGCCTAGTTGGCACGACGTGAAATAGTTAGCAAAATAGTACAAGTTTGATTCCGATGTTGTATTCAAGCTTATTTTTATTGATCCATATACTGACAAATTGGCTGACAAATTGGCTGACAAATTGGCTGACAAATTGGCTGATAAATTGACTGATAAATTGACTGACAAATTGACTGATGAATTGACTGAGATTTAAATGATAAACTCAGCAGTAAAATCGTAAAGTAGGAATGGGGATGCATTTGCCGATGCATTATATGGATGCATTATTCTGGTATTGGTGCAGGGAAGGGGGATTTATTTCCTGATTCATTATCACGATACATTCCCCACCGTAGCACAGAGATCACGTAGCGCCAACGGTGTGCTTCTCCCACTACTGTGACAGAGCGAAGTTGAATTATCAGCCAATTAGACAAAGGCTGGGCAGGAGACAGGTGTTGGCCAGGTACTGTCTAGCTAGCACTCGCGATCAATCTAAAGCCTGGTCACTAACCGAGCCTCCGCCCCCCCACTTCTTCTCTTGTGGATATGCGCCCACTGGTAGTGACACCTAGAAAGAAATAGACTTCGTCGAAAGAAAGGATATATAGAGAAGTAATGTATTGAGCGTGTTGATAGTGCTATCTAAGGGAGGATTCCCCGTATTTATACGAAAGAGAGGTAATACAAAAGAGCTACAAAGAGTCATAGACATATGAGTAGTAGAATGACTACTAGGAAAGTGAGTCATGAGGCAGTCATATGCCGATGACAAATACTATAATGAAATAATGAGGATCCTTCAATACTATGAGACCTGCCGGGCGTCCTATTTCAAGAGAGTGAACCAAGCGCGGAGTGATTCAATACCTGAACAAGTTCATGGTGGGATGCATGGGGGAAAAAACACCATAGAAAGCGCGGTTAGACGCTGATACCAATTCTATGGGGGGTTTGATGAGTGGGGCAACGCATCTCCATATTAGCTAGCTACGCTTGATATCATCACTAGACGCGCTTGTGCCGCTCACAAGATAGGAGAATGAGCGGGATATCTGGAGCTAGGTGGCCCGGTGAGTTGCCCTCCCGGTGAGACGGTATTAAACAAACAAATCAAAAGAAAAGAAAATATGCTCGATGGCGAGTGGGATTCTGTGATTCATCCCCGGTGCGTGGGTGGCGGCGGGTGATGTGGCTGTGGGCGGATTAATGGTACTCCGTGCGGGAGGTGAGCAAAATATAAACTTGAAAGAAGGCACAGGGACATTTCATGACACCACAAGACATCACGCACATCGCCAGTGCCACTATCATATCCCGCGCATTACTGCGGTGCAGCGTATCTCTACGAATGATACAGGAAAGGAGACGTTTGTTGAACTAAGCTACGCACGCTCTACAGGTGATCTTACAGGCACCCCCTCCCCTTCCCACTCCCATCCCTTTCACCCTAACCCTCCACTCCCAACCACGCTTTTTCCCATACGCGCTCCCAATCTCCCCCATCTAAATCCAGCTCTCCAACGCCAACGCCATTCTCGCCCCATTCATGCACACTACAATCCCCCCCATCCGCTCCCTCACTATCAGCGCCCTCGCCATCTCCCCGCCCCGCACACAAGCGTGGAACTCCCGCTCGAGCTCATCAAACTCGTTGTTGAGGTCGATCATGTGGTGTAAGATGATGCTGCGCTTCATTGTCGCCGGCGAGGCCGGGCGTTCCTCATCGTCAGTGCTGTTTGTGGGGCGAGGAGGCATGTGTGTAGGGGTGAGGGTGCGGGAGGCGTCGGAGTTGCTGTCGTCTTCGTAGGTGGATCCGCCGTTGGAGTGCCATGTGGGAGAGGGGGTGAGGGGCTGCTCATCGGAGGTGGTGGCAGGGTCGGAGAAAGTGTCCTCTATGGCTGTGGAGAAGACTGAATCTGCGACCATGACATCTCCAACTGAGGAGGCGGCATCCGGAGCGTCCGCTGTTTCGATGGGCGCTTCCTGAGTCGTAGTAGCGGGTGAAGACACGGATGTTCTTGTGGCCCCAGACTCGGCAGTATGCACCACCTTCACCGCATACAATATCCCAGTAATCTCAGCCGCCTTGACAGCCTGTCTAACAACCACCGGCATAGGCGGCGCACCACCAGCGGTATAGGGATCCCCCATCTGAATATCTTCGTCATCATCATCACTGGACCCAGACTCCATATCACGGCCAACTTGAGAAACAGCAGCCCCGTAGAATGCTTCCGCGAGGATAGCGTTGACGGCTGATTCGAGGAAGGGGTCTTCCATGGTCATGGCGTGGTTTTTGTTGTTGGAGGCGGGGTCGGGGTTGGGAGTAGGATGTGTGGCGTTGGCAGCTGACGCAGGGGTAGTGGCCACGCGAGGGAGTTCGACGGCGTGGATGGTAGTCGTTGAGCACTGACTCTCTGCACTTCCGGCGGAATCTGCGATCTCTATCCCACCAGCGGGGCGAGGGACATCGAGGAAGCTCCACTCACGAGTACGCTGACCGACACCGGGATTGAGAGGCTCATCGCTAGTCATATCGACATCCCCATTATCCGACACCTCACTCAGAACCGACTTCTCCGTCCCCATAGACGCGACCGGGCCCATAGTCTCCACACCCCCAGCATTATGTGCACTTTCAATAAAACCCCACTCACCCCCACCGCCACTAATGTCCACGTTACCAGCTTCCTCGGTAGTCATGATAACGTCTTCATCGTTGGACGCAGCCTGCCCATGGTGAGACTCCTCCTCACTCTCCACAGAGGTAACCGAGTCCGCGATCTCCACAGCGCTGACTCTGGCGGTACGTGCAGCTAACGCGGTAGCTTCGATGATGCTCCACTCACCCGCACCTGCGCCCGCCCCCGCTGTACCTACCACTGTACCCGCACCCGCAGCCATAGCAGCAGCAGCACTCGCACTCCGGCCCCTTCTAAGCCCCTTCCCATACCCAGACCCAGTCACACCCCCACTCCCACCCGCAGATCCAATCCCAGCCGAAGACGCAGGCACCACCCCCGCGACCGAGCGAGGCGCGGCAACAGATGCGGTATAAGTCCCACCGTCACTCTGCTCGCCCCTCACACGCTTACACTCCACCTTCTTCGCCTTGACGCCCTCCCAGTGTTGTACTGCGGCGGCGTTGACGTTGGATTTGAGTTCCTGTTTTTGCACACCTCGTATATTAGCCCTTCTGTCCACACACTAACACAAAACATAAGTGCAACTACCCAACGCCCTGCGGGCATGGGGGGTGGATCAAGGGGAGGGAATGAGAAGGAGAGGGGACAAACCCAAGTCGGTAACCACAAAGTGCCCGTTGTCGGGTCGCAGCCGGCCCATTGGATGAGGTACGAGGTGTAGGTCTCGGAGAGGATACACTTGACTGGCCAGGGTTTTGTTATCCAGGTTGTTGGGACGGGAGGTGAGGTGGTTGGCGGTGCGGTTGGCGGGGAGGCATGGTGCAGTTGGTGGTTAGAGCGAGGAACGGGAAAGGTTCTGGTGGGGGAAGTGGGCGTGTAAAAAGGTTGTGCGGAAAAGCTTGCGGTGGTAGGAGAGGGCGCGAGAGTGAGAGAGGGCGAGAGCTATATACTTGTCTTGTCAGCTCTTTCTTAGTTCGGGAGTAGGATTATCCGTCTAGCCGTATTTGTAGTTATTAAAGTCCCCCAGCGTCAGTATTTATTAAACTGCAAAAGCCGTGGGCACAGCTGTGTATTTATAGCTGCCCCCACCAAGCATCCGGCACCAAGCAGCCGGGGCTTGGCATTTCGGCGAGGCAGGTTAGGTACTGCTGAGTGATGGGTGCAATAACGTTAGTGGCGCCCAGTTTGGAGTGTTTGGATGGTGTTGGACGGCGTTGAGATTGGTTGATCGGGGCTGTGAGGGGTTAGCGTGGGGGGGGTATTGTGACGCCCCAATCATGGACATCCGCGGTTGGGTCATCAATAGTATGATTTCCTGGTTGTTATACGCCAACTGAACCAGTCAAGGATGTCCCCTGGGCAATAGAAAGAAAAACAGAATAAATGTTCTGTCAATTTCGCTTCTACCCACAAGGCCTCATAATAATATAAGCGTGGGGAATCCTAAAGAAACTCGACTGATTTTTTTTTGGGGGAGGGGGTATTTGCCAATTCTGAGAAGTGCACTGGCCGAATAAGGAGGCCTGAGGCGTTGGGATTTTGAGAGGTTTACTTTTACATCGTTATGTTTTACAGTAATTAGTTGAATTCCCCGAACATATTGAGGTTCGATATAAAGCGTAACCTTTCAAAATATATAATCTCCGAAGCTATTCAGCTGCAGCCTGAACAAGATGTGGGACAAAACTTTAAATAGATTTAGCTTCATTTGACTATCAAATATGATAGCTGCAATATTGAAATTTGAAATTCTTAACTATGCTTTTAACGATTATGGTTATAGTTTTGCAGGAGTGATGATTGAATCATCAATGCTAATAAAACTGCTCCTACGGAGAGGATAAACTCTTACTTCATCTACTAATCAGTTATGAGATAATTGCTAGAATAGAGGGCAAAACAACTATAATTTGACGTGATTGCTCGGTAGTACAATTTGCTATATCGGACAGTATAGGAATAGTTTTGAGAAGAAAAATTTCTAGCTTGTTAAAAGTTTCCCAAATCCGAAGTAAAATATTTTGGAGAAGATATGTTGATAAAATTAACCTATTTCTCTGTCTTTCCTTGCTGCAATGAGCTTCTCAGTAAAAATATTCATATATAAAATATTAATACTAACAGTTTGAATTCAAAAGAGTAAAATTCATATTTAGCAGAATTGTCAATACTTATAAAAGAAAAGAATTATACTATTGTTCAACAGAGTTTAAACTGGAGAGTTCCGGAAATAAGAATCAAAATCCGGATTGGATTTCTATTTTGTTCTTTGGATTTCTTTAACTGTAGATCTATTGGATGCGTCATTGAACTCGCTTATGGGTTTATATTAGGAGCTTCGCCCTCTTTACCATGGCAGGAAATGCATCAATTGATGCATTTCGCTATGAAAGTGGCTTGCAAATGCATCAGTTGATGCATAAGCTTGTTGAGGCCTCAATAAATGCATCAGGCTATACATTTGCTGACAATTTTGCCTACACTTTTTCCTACTGTCGACGATTTTACCTACACCTTTCCCTACTAAGTGCGTACTGTAGGGAAGGTTGTAAGTACTAGGTCATTGTGTAGGGAAAATCGTCGACAGTAGGGAAAGGCGTAGGTAAAATCATCGACAGTAGGCCTGGAAAGGTGCTGGTAAAATCGTCGACAGCACTTCGAAGTAGGGAAAGGTGTATGTAAAATAGTCAACACTGGCAGTAGGCAAAAGTATAGGTAAAATCGTCGGCAGTAGGTAAAGGTGTAGTAGGGAAAGCGGTCAGTCCGCGAATACTACTGTTCTTGGTATTTCTTGTGTCTAGTGATTATTGATTCAGATATTTTTGGATCTCCAGTTGGGCTACTTATGCCTATTGAGTCAGCTTATATGTATTGCGTGTACTAGTAAGTGCTATATATTGAAAAGATATGATGGTACAGATGGTAAGCTCCAAGTCTAACTTGAAGCTAGATCATAATCGAGATGATTCGGGTTCAATCCCTCCATATACATTTGTTTTGGATCGGGACACTAGCAGAAGTGTTCTTCGGTATGATGCATTTACTAATCTCTTTACCGATGCCTTAACCGATGCCTTTACTGATGCATTTCAACCCGTGATTTAGGGGGAGTCCGGCACTGTTTGTATTTCTATTTTCCTGATATAAGTATTTCCCGACCTCTCGGCCAAAGGAGACTATGATGCATCAAGGATGCATTAGTTGATGCATTAATTGATGCATTATCCACACGTTTTAGGAACAAGATTTGATAAATTGACTGACGACTTTCACTGATGCATTTACTGATGCATTTCGTACCATGATAGAGAATATTGGCAGTAAATATTACGTGGAGTCCACTACAAGCCTGTACATTCTTTAAAATAGATTAAATAGATTATTAGCTTTCTTTCTGACTCTCGCAAGCATGTCCTTGTGCCAAAATACGCCTCACAATTTCCGCCGGGGATGCTTTAAAAAATCACCTTTTCGCAAAGTTAACTGTGATAACAAAGCAAAGGGCAGGATACATATTGGGGACTTGAATACTTTATCTCAAGCTATATAACTTTAATTTAAACTCACAACCAGTATTAACAGTTGTCGATAGATTGAATGATTATAATAATACATAGTTACTACTTAAAAGATAACCTCCTTTGAGGTCTTTCTGCACCCTACACCGCATATACCTTTTGTAAATTCACTACAAAACAATTAAAAGACACCTAAAAAACTCTTCCGACATTTGGCTTCTTAGCTTGAATATTAGTTCCAACATCGCTCATCAACTGGCCTTGGTTGCTTTCCGGTGACGATCGCTTTCCGGTGCAACACGTTACCTACAAGCTGACTTTATCTCTCTAATGTCTCTTTAAAGCATCTTGTACAATAGCAAAAGGTTCAAATAATCCCCGGAAGCAGTAGGATAATCAGGGGCTGAGATAATTCGAATTTCTGAGCTAGTCTTTCCAGGTTCCCTAGGCACAAATCCGAGACCCCAAAGCCCTAGTACTCGGCATTGATGAAGTGTCTCGTGAAGTCGCTTAACTTCAGCTTTGATCCCGTAACCTCCTCAAACCTCCCTACCCGATCCTTAACGAAGATCCTGACAGCACCTATGTCGGAATCTGTGACGAGAGCCGCTATGTCAACTAAATAGTCCTTGTTACCCCCAACTAAAATCCCAAACAACTCGGCAAACAACATCAGCTTCATAAGATGCTCTAAATCGCTGCTTAGGTTTGAAACAATCTGATCATCAGTTAATCTCACAGTCCTAGAGAGAGCAACCGTCATATCTCTATTCCCCATTCCCACCGCCGCTAACACCCCAGCCTGTAAAAGGGTGCAAAAGTCCTTTGAACCCTGCTGCAGGCCGTTGCACAGGTATTCAAAGGTGGCAACGTGCCCTGAATAGCTTGCCTCCACCACCTGAGAAAAAGGCAAGACCAGAGGGTTTAACGGCGGAAGGAACTGCCAGGTCTGATAACGCCATAGCCTACGGCGATCTTCAATGTATACATCTACCGCCGGGGACCCCAAGAACTTCAGAAACGGCTCACAAGACTCATCTTTGTCCCAGAGATACACATTATTGTAGAGATTGAATGTCGCATATTCCCAAAGCGGATACAGATCTACGCGGGCCCTGTACTCTTTGTATGATAGGCATGGCTGTTCGAAGCAGCCCAAAACAAGGAACTTAAAACAGTCGGTGGTAACAGTCTTCGCAGCATCAGGTATGGCGCCGCAACTGCCTGTGAGATACTCGTTTATGGAGAAATGGGCAGGTTTAACTCTCCCATTAGTGGAATCGACCAGTAAAAGACCCCCACAAACCTCTAATATCATACTGATATCAGGGGTGTCCCCGGGGCCAATGTCCTTGATGTGATCACTAACTGAAACCGCCTGGCAAAATTCTTCAATAGTAAGAGCACGAAAAGCATTGACTGCCCACGAGAGAGACTTCAATGCAAGTGTTCTTCTACTCTTGTGCTGCTCCTTGATATCCTGTATCACCCTTTGGTAAATATCAAAGAGTGCATCTTCCTCTGCCAGTGATGAGTCAAGATTCTGCATAGATGACTTGATCTCGTTCACAGTGGTCTGCTTGCAAATATCCTCTATAAAAAAGTGGACCAGCAAGAACCTATACATTGGAAAATTAGCCGCGCCCAGCGTCCTGGTAGCGGGTTCAAAACTCACATTCCCTTCGCACACTCAACCAACCTTGTCGAAATATCCTCTTCGACCTTTGATGATATGAGCCTTCTGGCATGTCGATTATCGTCAATTTTCCTCTGGATATAGATCTTCAGATCTTCCTCCTGTGCCGCAAGCGTGATAGCTACAACGCCCCCTATGGCCGGGAAGGAGTGAACTATATCAAGTGGGTATGGCCGACTCGTTACGAATACACTTGTGCCTGAACTTCCAAGCTCATGAAAGATGGGAATCAACGCTTGGCGCTGGTCTTCCTCATCAAACTCATCTAGTGCATCAAACACAAAGAATACCCGCTTGAAAGCCTTCAGGATTCCAAGTAACACTTCGCGAGCAGTAGCCTCATCAGATATTAATGCCTTGTTCAGTGGAGAAAGCTTATCGTCTGATGACTCAAGGAGTACTGGAATGGTGGATAGTTGGGAGGATAATTGATGAATAAGACTGCAAAGTACCAAAGCAGTGGTTTGTTGTTCTCGCTCTTTATAACTGAAGTATACGAAGGCAATGCCGATGTTGTCCGGTGATATGGAAGCCATGTGGTTCAGGTCGTCAATCACCCGCGAGCTTCGAAGAAGTCAATTCACCATCAGGGAGAGTGGACGCAGCAGCGGATAAATGTTAATTGCTTACCTGAGGAACATTTTTCCAGCGCCCGTTATGCAGCACATGATTCTGCTCAGCAAACCGATTCCAAATCATGCTAGGAATAGAAACACCATAGTACTCACGTATACCATTGCCCCACAGTATTTTAAAATCCGGATTCTCCTATATCGAACGCTGAAATTCCGGTTTTAGGGCAAGCCAAGTCCGAGTATCTAGCTGTCTCCTGCCACTAATTTCAACATGCTTCTCATCAAAGCGAGTGTGGTAGGCCCAGTTCAGGATCTTAGCTCGCTTCTTCTCTAAACAACGGTCAGCAGAGGAGTTCACACTGTGGAGTAAAATGTGTTACCTAGGCCAGATTCTATCTTTCTATTCCTCTCCTTCTCTGCAGCAACAAACCCCACTTGAACCCGACCCAAGATATCATACACATTCATATCGGTGTTCCGAGCAAAGACCTCGATCGCAGTGGATAGGTAGCTATAAGCCCATAGTTAGGTAGAGATCTCGTGGACATGGACAGTAACCTACTGTTGCTCGGCGGACATCGCAAGGCCGAATAAACTCTTGTACCGCTCAATTGTTAATAGGACCGCCGATGTATGACTTTGCAACAGCGGCCAACGGGCCCGGTGGAGTATCCTCCTGGAAGAACCTTTCCTTGGTTCAAGCCGTCCCTGGATATCCTCCAGCACACGTCTGCATTCCTTTAACGGACCTTCGAGAGCCAGAAGATGCTTGGCTGCGGTTTTATTACTGTCCACCTGATGTTTGAGAATCGACAGTACTACGACAAGAGATGATAGTTCGCTGTGGAGGCTTTGGATATCCTGTTTGGCGTCTTTTATTTTAGTTATGTAGCTGTAGCTGAATCCTACGACCACCCCCGTGATCTGGATTAGTCCGCAATACTAGCAGCCAGCCCGACAAACTCGGCCATGTTTTTGAAAATTCGTGTTCGATTCTTGTTCGTATATTGAGGTTGATGCTATTCAGGCGTCGCGTAGGGTGAGTAGTGCTCATGCTTTCAACAAGGCGGGGTAAGCCGGCACAAACAACCACCAATAGGGGTTCAGCTCAAATTTCTAAGCAGCCGCCAACACTTGTAGATATCATAATTTCGATAAACCCCAATATTCCAATATGGAATGGAAGAATAATCATAAAATCAAGAGGAGTCTTTTGTTCCTATAGATCACCAACTACCAGAGTCTCAACTTCTTTTTTTTTTTTTTTTTTTTTTAATTCATGTAGTTTTAATTGATTCTAGGTACAAAACTCTGCATGCAGTCTTAGACTATGGCATAAAAATACCTCTCCCCGACTTAAAAGACCAAATTTCACGACCCCAGATAAACAAAGGAAAATAATGAAAAGAAACAAAACTTTGAGACGCTGACTGGCTAACTGCAAGGAAAACGGCGTTTTGGCGATCCATACCCGACATAAGAGAGTTTCCTGCTGGTTTCAAATAACCTGTTGCCCCTTGAGGGTCTTTGTGGGTGTGGAGTACCCTGATTTGGGTTGAGTTTGCGGTGGCTAGGTGGTGGAGGGGGGGGAGCTGAGCGTGCTTGACACATCGGATCCGGACAAGAGGGCGGAGATATGTTCCTTTCTGGGGAAGTTCGTTTTGGTGGTGGTGATGAAGGCTCCTAGAGCTAGTGTGTTGGTGCGGTCGTTCCAGATCTCATCAAGGGTTTTGATTCCTGGGAGGATTTGGGCGCGTTGGGTTGCCTTTGCTCGGCAGAAGAGGATGGCATGTTCGGTGGTTTCAGGGCCTTCGCCACATCTGTCGCACTTATCGGAGAGGTGGAGGTTGAGCCAAGATTTGTGGCCTCTGAGGTAGCGTTTTTGGGCTCTCATTTGATGGATTCGAGTAGCCGTGAATTTGTGTAAGTCGATGAAGGGTTCAGGGCTTGAGGAAAGGGGGAATGTGTAGTAGGGGGTGTTGGGAAGTCGTGTGCCCAATTGTCTAGCATTTGTTGTTTTGCTAGTTTTGGGAGGAGTTTGTGGTCTGTTCCTCTTGTGACTGGGTGTTGGAGGAGGGAGCAGAGGTGTTCGATGGGGAGGTAGGCCACACCCTTCGTTGCCATTGAGTTCCACTTTTTGGGTGGGTTGGGGCGACCACGGAGGAGGCGTGTATGGGAGGGGACCCTGTCGGGGGTCAGGGTGGGGAAGGAGGGGTGGCAACGCCCTGTCACTGGGTTGTTGAGAGGGTGGGCAAGTAGGACGCGGATGGCGAACTTTGTTTTCAGGTAGTGGATGTAGTTGATGAGTGGGGGGCAGTGTGCCTCGGCCCAGAGGACGCGTTGGTTGGTCGCTCTGAAGCAGCCAGTGGCCCATCTGAGTACAGAATTCCAGAATTTGTTCATGGCCTTAAGGGAGCTGGTGGGGGTTAGGACGGATGCCCCGTATGTGAGCATTGGGTGTATGGCGAGAAGGGCGATTTTCCTGCAATTGGATGAGGAGAGGCCTTTGCCGGGGGAGGAGAATCTCTGAAGGATTCCGAAGCTGGCCTGGGCGGAGGCTAGACGGCGGATGAAGTGGGTGTTTGGGTTGAAATTTGGGGATAGCCAGAAGCCGACCCATCTGACTTGATGTCCTGGGTGGAAGACCTGATTGTCGAGGGTGATAGGGAGTGTGCAGGTCGGCGCCTTGTCTTTGGGGGCCAGAGTCTCAACTTCGTGTACTAGGAGGATACATGTTTGTGGCGGTGCAAAGGGACATGTTCAATAATCCATAGGAGTCTGCTTTAGGTATATTGCCCCGTTCTGTACATCCTTCCCAACATATTGAAGCCCTAATACTCTTGTTTTATACATTCTGGTCGGGTGCGTGGATGGGGGTGCGGCTCTGGCCCATCATACCAAGATGCGGCCTTGGCAGATATTAATAGATCTAATCTGCGTTGCCAAGATATTGCGGACATTGTAGCGACCACATTTCCAACACCAACGTCGCTTTCCTCCACAACCACAAGGAGAGAAGACAAGAGATTTGACTTCTGCTATTGGTTATGCCTCTGTCATCCCGATCTCCAATATGAGCCCAATCGGAATTTGGCCATTCTAGCCAATCTGTGTGGTTGCAACGCGAGCGTCCGGATAATTTTGATTAAAATAATTAAACATGAAAAATTGTGTTACCGGAAACGGGATGGGCTCAGGTTTCTGGATACCTTACGACCTGGAATGGCCAATATAATAGAGAGTTATGACCACCGCTGCCGAATATTCTCCCAGCCTCGATATGTGCCGAGGGCAGTTTTCCGTTTGTTTCTTGAAGTTCTGCATTGCGATAACACTCGGCGGGGAGTACAAGGCTTGTACGATTGCGCGTCCTAATGATCCGGGTTCAATCGACGGTAATGCCTCTAATAGGCAACCTTTATTAACCTTGAGATTCGTGGCATGTACGGTGCATTCTCACCTATCAGGATACCAAACAATACCCCCCCTATATTCCCTAGACTACCGCAAAGGATATAGGGACCTACTTGCGCCTCACGATTTCCGTGATAGCTCACCCGCAAATACCGCACGAGAACAACAATATTAATGCCCGAGGTCGGCGCAAAAATCTTTCTTTCCCCAGCTGTTTCCTGAAGAGAGCAGTAAGAAAACCCACCACCGCGGGGGAAGATTAAGAAGTCGGGCATTCCCGAGGTCGGTGGGCACGGGCTTAAGCGGGAAGCGTACATTCGGGGAGAGCGCGGGGCCGAGCTGAGATGAATGAATCTAGGCGAAGGTATTCAAATACCCATCGATCCAGGCACGGCTCCTCGCTCTGCAGCGAGATAGATACTTAAGGACTAAATTGGAAATTCCATTCCCACCTGCGGAATTGCAGTTCTCGACACCCCCATCATGCTGTAATTAGGAGAATGTCGAGTACGGCGATGTCGTGAACCCTCTCTGACCCACCGGGGCGTTGAGGAAGTGGCGACGCGACCTGAAGGTTTGATGTCGCAGCGAGCGCGCAGAGTCCTCTGGGTGTGTTCTCTGTTCAGAATCATCCCCGCCCTTGGCATTCTTCAGTGATGTATAATTCTGGGATTATCATCAAGTTGCGATGACCACCATTTCCAAGTCTGTTGTTGTCGAGGCGACAAGATTGTTATTGCTCTGACCCAAATGTGAACGCTACCCAAACCCCTGACGTTTACAGATGGCATGACCTGTTCACCGATAGGTACCGTAACCTGTATGGGTAGCCAATTGATTGATATTGCTCTTTCTTCCGACCCATACGTTGATATTGAACTAGTGATGAGCGCGAGCCTGACATAGAGCTCGAGCTGACTCGGTAGGTGGAAGTAAAGGCTCGAGTTGTTCGAGCCTGGGCTCGAGCTCTCATCATTTTACATAAAAATAAAATCAAATGAGAATGAGAATGACAGAATCAGACATTCGTTGCCAGAATCAGTAAAGTCTTCCTACCTCAATGCATCACTCAATTGACCAATTCTCAATCAAATATGAATACCACCTGATTGCAATGATTCGACCACACAATTCCACGCTAGTGCGAAGGCTTGTAAGTCCAATCATGTAATCAGGGTTTTATTTTAAGTCCCGGACTACATTATTGATTGATTTAGTGAAAAACGCTATTGATCCGCCGTGGCCCAGAGGAAGATTCAGCATTTGGGTAGCCCATAGAGCCGTAGCTACCCATTCATGAATTGGTAGCGCCATCGAGTGACAGCGGCCCTATGGGTCGACCTATGCGATGATATCAGTGTATGGGTAGAGTCCGGCGTATGGGTCAGAACATTTTCGCAATGCCTGTGAGTTGCAATCGGCAGAAGACTGCTATATAAATACAAATGAAGGTGAAAAGGAAGATCTCTTTTAGTGCCAAGTGCCGCGGAAGCAATTACCCACTCGGCCGCGGGCTTCATTAAACTGAAGAGGAAAGTGGCATCGTGATATCATCATCCTCTACACGTCTCAAAGGTACTGGGTGCCCTATGTTCTCCCGAGACCGGGGCAACAGAGCAGCGCTGTTAAGGATGTCGAATTACAAAGCTCTG